TTTTATATATAATATATATTTAGTTATTCAATATATATTTAGTTATTCAATATATATATTGAATACATATTTAGTTATTCAAAACATGCAATGCATATAACTCTGGAATTCTAATTTAAACTACTCTGGAAAAGGCTAAGCTGCTTTAAAATTACACTGAAAGCTGTCGTTCCTCTTTTAAATTTTCACTGTTAATATATAAGGAGGAACCACTGTAGCAGAACTATCTCAGTCAATCCTAGGGATGTGGTTACAGGAAAGTATTCATTCGAAATTAAAGAAAAAAAAATAAACAGAACTGTGAAGACAGAAAACCCAACGTAATTCCAACGTCAATAAATAAACATTGACAGCAACTAAAAAATTATGAGCGGCTAATAGAAGAAAACATAATTGTGGAAGTTGGTTTGAATGTAATATATTCTGTTACACTGTTAAAGCAAATAATGCTCAGGAAGTGTAAAGACAATCCCAAGTAATAATATGTTAACAGGAAACTTAATGACAACTAGTGTCGTTATAGCTAGGTTGCATAATGCCTGCTAAAGTGGACTTTATGAACAGTAACATTTATTTCCCAAAACACGTTTAACTTTAACCATTTGGCTTTACTTCCTTGGTTATTTGAAATTCATAGACTCAGTATTCAGGGCTCAATACTGTAATACTGCCTGAAATCCATGATCCGTTGAATTTAGTATGGCGATAAGAGTTATAAGACAACGTCAACATTTGTGCTCTCTCCTTTTTCCCCTCAAACAAGCACTGAGCAATTTATTATAATCGCTTATGTATTTCATAATACATTATTTCATTTCAAAAGAATTATAATGTAACAAGTAAGACTGTGCTGTCTACTAACCTGGTATACTCCTTTTAATAGCAAAGTCATTATTCCAATGGCACTAGCTCATATTAATAAGCTCTAATGTCCCTAGTTCTTGGAGATTCCTCTAATGAAGTTGCAGGGACTACATAATTAGGCATATAACTGTGAGCTTAAATGACCTGTGGTCAAATTAATCCCTGATGAAACTCCATTGACATCTACAGGTTTAAATCCAGCTCCATCTCTTCAGTTTATGAGGCTAAATACAGTATTGCTTGACTGTACCTTGGTGGCACAAAACTACAGTATTTCTACATTGCAGTGGACACAGACACAGAGGCTAGCCTAAAAAGTGGCTTTCAAAGTCCTCCTCTCTAGCATGGATTGGATGACAGAAGGGAGACCAGGAGGGAAAAGAGATGGCCCACTGCATCTATAATTAAGCAGAGGAGTAACCACCAAACATTGTGAAGGGTTGTGGAACGGTCACAATCCTTATTTAAGCAGAGAGACAATGACAGGAAGCAGAGAGGTTTTGCTCCTCTGATTGATAGCAGCTATATATATATATTTTTTTTTTTTTTTAACTGATCCAACCAAATAATGAATATCTGAAAATACCCTGAACTTCAGAGACCAAATGGCAAGAAACCATCTCCGTTCAAGCACAACGTCTCTTTAAAGTAATTAATATATTCACAAGGCAGCAAATAATATTTCTACTCTTAGGTTTTCTTCTTACCTCCACAACTTCCTCATATTCTTCCTCCTCCATTTTCAGAGTATTCTGCCTTTCACCCACTCACTGGTGATGTAACAGAGGAAAGTGTGAATGTATAGTATTAGCCCAAGACTGAAAGTACAATGAAAAGCTACTAATAAAGGTTTCAGTATGCTTGAGTCACAGTTAGTAATCAGTAAGATTGCTACATTGTTTTATTGGCTATTCAGTAGCAGAACTTGTAAACAACTGAAAGAAATAAATTTGCCATCTACCATTATTTTGTTTCTCACTATTACTGGAAACTATTGGATTAAGTTTAAAGCATATTGAGATAAATTACAATTTTGGACAAATATTTTATTCTGATAATAGTAACACCAATACTGGAATTCAATTAAAATTGAAAAAAAATCAGAGGAAGAGATTTGTTAAAGTATGAGTTGATATTTTTTTTCATTGCAACAAGGTTATTTGAAGAATTTTCCTTTTCTCTGGGACTATTCTATACTGTTTCATTACATTTTAAAACTCCTATTAGAATAAGAACTTTATCTGTACATTCTACTATATCCACTCGCATGTAAAAACATAATGTAGGGAGAAAAATGCAATTTTTTTTTTTTTTTAAAGTGACCTTAGGTTAATGAGGCAATTATTCTCTTCCCAGCATTAGCCTATACAGGTGCTTTGGGGCTTTTTTTTTTTTTTTTTTAAGCTCTTGTGGCTTTTTTATGTATATTTCCTCAGACCTGGAATATATGAAAATCCATATAGTTTGGCTGAACTACAAAGTACAGATTGCTATCAAAATCTTTAAACAAATTAATTAACACAATGATTTTGCTATGAGGCAAACTTGCAATTTTCCACCAGCGAATACAGCCTGTTTCTAATGTTGGTAGGAGATGAGGTTTTGGAACAGCTGTTCCTGAGTCCAAAGATATTTGCCATGTAAGTTAATACTACCAAATGACTGGGTGGTTTTGTTTAGCTGGCTAAACTGCCATTCCTTCTGAGGCAAGTGAAGTCTAGTAATGCAGGTTAAATATAGGAACATAAAATACTGTCCCTTTTTAGTCTCAACATGTTGAGAAAAATTACAAGAAATTGACTTTGTTAAACCAGAATTTGAATATTAAAATGAATAAAGAGTAACTCAATTAAGAAGCAGCAAGTCATGTGAAAAAGTTTTGCCAATGTTTATGTACAAATCCCAGAAGTAGACCCTGGCACACAGGGAACCTCTCTATGGAAGCTGTCATTATTATAACCTTCAGTTGCACTTCCAAAATGCAGTACCAGATCCTTTCCTTTTAATAGTAACTAGTCAACTATCCAGTCAGATGCAATATCTGACCTCCATGGACGAGGAGCGACTCATACTCTCAAAAAAATACAGAATTAGAAAATAGCTCCCGATCCTATTCTGAAGAAAAAAAGCCAAGTATAATTAAATGATCTTACCAGCAACATCTAGTAAGTATCCTTAGGAGCAAAGCCTCTCCAGTCTGCCCTCCTGAGTAATGCTGGGTGAGAGCAAGCCTGATGCATCGGCTCCTAATTATGCATGTGGCCACAGCACAGCCAATCTGGCTCCAGCCCGCTCAAGTTTCAGCCCTAAATATACTTGGTGACCCTGGGGGAGGCCACCTGTTCGCAGCACCATGAAGGAAAAGGGAGCAGGGCACTTCTGTACTCCTGAGGAAATCCAAAACATACCACAGCTTGACTAAACTTCATCAGATCTCTACTGAAATGGATCCCTAAGCAAATACAAGGGAGAGTTCAAATGGAAAAAATGTGCACATTTTTTTCTAATTAATTTAAAAATTATCTAAGCTGATAATTAAAATGAATTTGAATAGATAGAGCCTATTTCATTCCTAAATAGGAATTCAAGAATTTCTAAATTTCAGAGAAAGGAGAGTGTCTGTACTTTGAACTTTTGGTCTGAATCTATCTTGAATTTCATTCCTTAAGTACACTTAAAATGCTTCATCAGTTTAACTGGATGAAAATCATGTGTCAATAGATTTATCATTTCTCTATTCACCTCACATTCCAAAATGTTACATAGCTGAACGTATTGACACTTGAATGTGTAAAAACTGACTATTTGCAAGGAAAAACTAGAAACGTACAGATGAAAGCATAAATAAAAATGCAAATAACAGCCAACAAGTCCTGTGGAGAAAGACTAGGCATACGAGATAAACGGATTAAGTAGCAGTGGAGCAATTCTAATACACGCAGTATTTTGGAAAGTCAAGAAATAAATTATATAACGTATGCAGTAGAATGATAGTGATGATAACAGACGAGACCTCTTAGGTCATCTGTCCACTCTTGATATGAGATTGCTTTAGTTCTTGAAGGACACACATTTAACAGCCAATACCAACAATGATCTCGTAATTCAATAGATGATTGTCAGGAGCCCTGGAGAGACACCTTCTTGTTCCTTTACTTTTTTCAGAAGTTAATATTTATATCCAGTTGAAATATCATATGTCATTCACTACTGCCAAGGATTTTATACCCTTCACAGAGCTGTAGTTCCTTCCCTTTCCCCTTTAGCCAAGCTATATGCATTCAGTTATTTAACTTTTTGCTTTACTAGGCAATTCTTCCTGCTTTTAATCTTATTTCTGTTTATTTGAACTCCCTCTGTTTCTTAACATTTTTTGAAGATGTCCAGAAATGAATGTAGCATGTTGATGGAGAGTAATGTCAGCTTAATCTTCTGCTCTCCAATCCAATTCCTCTGTGTGTGCATCCCAAAAATAACTCACGGAGTCATTTTTCTCTGAAGTACTGCTTTTCAGTGGATTGGATGCATAATGTGATATCTAGGTAAACGATGACAAATCTTTTTGTAATGAAGGGCCAATTTTTTATTAAATATGTAATTCATTATATTTGTTTCCAGCTCAAATCTCTGTTGATGCCAGAATTAGTGCTATGGCCAGTGACTCACCATTCCTCTTCTTGATTCTTTTCAGCAAGTCTGGGTTCATGGCCTCTTTTTCAGACTTAACAGTTGTACTTTACTTTGCTTTTACTGTAAATGTCATTGCCCTATAGTCACTGCTACAAGATCAGATATTTTTGCCTCATTCCAATCACCTGATCTAAATCAAGTTTACTGAATCATCAGAAGCTTGTATCCCTCTATCCTGCTTGTTATTTTGACAATATTAGCAGGCATTTTCAAATAGGATGTCATTTTCTGTACAGTTCTCTCTCAAGTTCCTGCAAATAATCTCTCTCTTAGTGATATAGTCTGCAACTCCTAGGTTACTAATACATCACCTTCAGATTCCATTACTGTGCTGTTTTACATATCCTATTTAGGCAGATAATAAACAAGGCCAAAATTACATGCAAGTTGCAAGTATCATCTTTTCTGCCACTGAAACGCAGCTATCTTGGTGTGAAACATTGGCAGGTCTTCAGGAGCAGAAAGTTCAGGACAGGAAAGGAAGCACAAAATAGCCAATCAAAATTACAGAAAGAATTTAAGAAGCAAAAGTTATTACTAAAACTGAAAAGTAGACAGAACATAACATCTATGTTCTAACAGGCGTCAGAACGTGAAGGGGGCAAAAGAGCGCACTCAAGTCACCTGGAGCTGTCAGCAAATCCTTTCTTTTGATTCTTACATTTTGTCCCTTTACTCATTCAGTTCCAAATCTCAAGGAACAACTCTGACAAAGCTATCACTGTTAGCTTAGTTTCTGTTTACAACTGAAAAAAATCACTGCATTTTCTGTGATTGCCACCCAAGTCCACAACAGTTCTTTTTTGCTCAACATTTAGCATTCCTTTGCTTTAGTGGTTTTATCTACATACAGTAGACAAATAAGTGGATATTTACACACACACACACATATGCCTACATATAGATAAATTATTTATATATGTATATATAATACATACACAGAGGGAAACATGTCTACACACCTCTCTACATTCATTTCCACAGTGAAAATGAACTACTATGATAGTTGTTCATGTCATGTCATTCACTTCTCAGGACCATTCAAATGCCAATGATACATATTCATATCAGAATATCAGCAAGCAGTGCATGCTAAAGCAGAACATGCATGAGGTAAATGGGTAATGGTAACAGTTAATATTCTGGGTTTTCTTGTTGCTTCCAGACATTTTGAAAATTTGTATCTGTGACTAAGAATAGTAAGTTGTTCAAATCATTCTTAGCTGAGAATACCAATGTGATTTTCCAGGAGACAAAAAAATCTTTCAAAGGCCCTAGGGAAATTCTGCTGATAGACCTGCCTGGCAGGTCTGATACAGGTTAACACACCACATCAGAGTGTTGTATCTACAGTACATAAATATGCACGTGCTCTGCAGTTTTTAAGCAAAAAGACAGAATGGTACAAGATGACTATGTTGGAGAAGGCTGTTCTGCGTTTAAATGACCCAAAATTTTAAAGCAGAAAATATTTTCTTGTACTCAACATTTTTTAAAATATTAAGTTCAGTCAGTCCCACCGATCAAACAGTAACCATTGTAACAGGGCAAAGAAAGGAAGAAACACGGTACCAGACACCAGCTAGATCTTCCATAGGCTCATTTAATCGTTTATCTGGTGAGACGAGATCATAAAATGTTTTCTGAATGCAATATTTTTGCTCTGATGTCAAATTAAAACAAGGAAAAGTGAGAGCTTTATCATGAGATTCCTTCTCCTGATTTATTTAGTAGGTGCATAAATCAGGAACCGTGAAACGTAATAATGCACTAAATACACTCACTCCCCTTACCCACAAAGCATTCACGTACAGAAACTCACTATTTTTTTTCAGAACCTCATTTAGAGCCTTTGCAAGTTCCTTTTGGGGAGGTACCTATGAAAAATCTGTAATCTAATCCTGGACCCTGGCCAATATAGAGGACAAAATATGGAGCATTAATATAGAAGGACAAAAGGGTAACTGACCTGTAAGCTGCACCCTCCTCCCCTTATCCCTCAAGATGGAACTGCGACAGAAATTCTAGTTTTCTACACACAAACACACAC